ACATCATCAGCGCGCCACCCTTCGGCTAGTTCGTGTTCTGTGTGCATGGGCAAGTCGTCCGACTTGTAGCTGCATTTCTGCACATGACATAAAGCCTGTATCTGGTTATGGCTTCATACATACATAACTGGGTATCCTTGCGCTCAGCACCTGAGGTTGAGGATGCAGACAGAGTTCGGCCAGCTTTGGTTTTGGAAGGCGACGAGCCCTGTATCTGTTGGTCTTCATCTTATGACTAATAGAAACAGTTAGCAGCTCTCAGCAGTCTAACAAATGTTGTCTGGCATTTTGCCATGATATTCTTGAATTGTCCTTGCTTGAGGGAACCCCCACGAGTCATGTTAACCAACTCCGCAGGTCGTGAGCACCATCCAAAAGACTGCAGAGCCAAAGTCCACGGCTTCCCGATCCGTTCGAGCTTTCAGGTTAAAGTGGCCCTGCCCCCTGCTGCATCCGAGGTGCTCGCTGACGGTACGAAGACCGAGAGCGGTGGAAAATGCACTGCCGATGCAACCCCTAGGGAGCCACAACGGCTACGGCATCTCCACGTTGCAGCCGGCGTTCGACTGCAGGATGACAGGATCTTGAGCAGAGTCCCACTCAGCTTGCCCGATTCTTGGACTTTTGTCGGGTGAGATCAAGGCCACTGTACGACCTCTGTGCTGGGCCAGATAGCCCAGTCCAGGCTTCCAGGCTAAACTTGGGGACGGGGCCAGGCCCCAATCCTGCTGCCGACTGTACTGGTCATGGCGGCAGATGCTACTCTCAAGCTGAAGTGGACAGGATGCTGGAGTCGTGCGCACCATTGTGCGTCAGGACGCTCAGTGCCAGTCTTCATCAGTGCAGCAGCATGCGACGGTAACCAAACGCTTGCAGCCCAACCCTACGTCAACACAACAGCGTGTGGCCCACCGCTAAACTTTAAACTCTCAATGTCGGCCCATTTAGAGAAAATTCGGTCGAAGGACAAGTGGAAAATATGCAAACTGCACGCAAGTTTGAGTGTTTGCATCTGCATCTGGCTGCGTGGGTCGTAGCTAGCAGGTGGCTAAGTGGCGACTTGGCGAGGTGGCCATGGGGTGGGCACAGGTGGGCAGGGGCTGGGTGGAGATGTGGGTCCATCATGCAGGCGGGCACGTAGGGAGGAACGTTGGATAACGTACTCTGGGCATAAGTAATCATAAGTAGGTAGGTAAAAGCGTGCCTGCTGTCACTGCTGGCAACTGCTGGCACAGAACCTGTGTAGTGGACAGAGCATCACACCGAAGTCATTCCCGGGTCCAGCCACAAAATAACCAGCGACGGTTCCCGGCTCCAAGTAGTTCTACGCTATACTTCAATGACTTCAAGCTTATGCCATCGAGTTCGGTGCAGCTCCGGGGCTGGGCGTGCAGTGGCATCTTGGATGCTCACGGCACGTTGTGATGCCTTGGATGCCGTGGCCATCTCGAGGAGGGAGGAGTGGCTCAGGAATGCGTGTCAAATATCGCGGCACGAGTCTTAATCCGTGCGGCTTCACAAGGACCCCGCCAAAGATATACAAGAGAATTAGCAAGTGCCGCAGGTGGGCAGACTTCCTTGCGCTCTCAGTAGATGGGGCAAGCACCTCACAGCGGCTCAGCAGATAACCTTCAGACGTTTGACTCATTACTTGCGCTTGTGAACTACCCAACACCCCATATGTGTTGTCTGCGATCAACAAACAGAGTGTATTTAACAATAGTGTTCATGTAGCAACGGGTGCTGATGTCATGCTCGTCTTGTTGATTCCGCCGTTGCAGTTGCAGCAGTAGCAATCGCAGCAGGTGCCATCGCGATTGAGTCATACTACTACTCCAGCTTCTGCATCGATAACCACCACGACGACGACAACGACCTAGCCCTGCGGCTGCTGCTCCTCCTGCTGCTGCTGCTGCCACCCGCCACCCTTGTGCTGCTCGTCACTACTCCTTCTACTACTCCTGATCCTCCTCTTCCTCCTCCTCGTGCAGCTACTTCTACTTCTACTATGCTACTCGTGTGCCAAGGCCTGCACAAGTCATGGCAGCTTTTCTGCCCACAGAAGTTCAGAATCTTCCAGCCTTCGTGCCATGTGATCACCGCACCGGCGCGCCGCCTGCCGGCGCAACTCCTGTTCAGCGTGTGGAATTCGCCCAAACTCCATAAAGAGAAAGGAACAGCAACTTCAATTCCAAAGTTCCCGGGCCGAGTCCTGTGATGGAAATGTCCACGACCTCGCGCTGGGAGACAACACGCGACAGGTGCGGCTGTGTGCCAGTCTTGTTCAGACCTCGGTGGGTGCTGGGAAGTGTGCGGATGAGCTGGTTGCCAACAGCGCTATGTGCTGCCAGGTCATTCCTCATGGTCCAGCTTCCCTATCGCAGTTGTCGGCGAACCACAGTTGCGCAGACAGTGGCTACAAGATTTGGGCTGGGGAACCCGACGACATATGTACACTGCCCGAGTCACCGAGCTTCGTTTCTTCCACATCCCTTACCCACACATGGAGCGAATTGCTTGTTGCGGCTATATAAGGACACCAAAACTTCCGGCCCACTCTGGCCTCAACAGAGCCTGACTTGTTTCGAAAGCAATCTCCGTTGCAAAGATTGTCGAGTGGCGCTGCGAGGCGCTGCCGCGCACATCCGGGGAGCGGCTGCCTGAGTGGGCCGGAAACAACAGCCAAGCAGTAAGAAGGAAATAGCGCGAGCAAATACAAGTGCAATGGGAGAGGCACCAGAAGTGCGAGCGAGCGAGCGAGCGAGCGAGAGAGAGAGAGAGAGAGAGCGAGAGAGCGAGCGAGCGAGGGAGGGAGGGAGGGAGGTGTGTGAGGAGGGAGGCAGGGAGGGAGCGGGTGAGTAAGTGAGGGAGGGAGGGAGGGAGGGAGGGGGAGGGAGTCGAGTCAGTGAGTGAGTGAGCGAGAGAGTGTGTGCGTGTGTGTGTGAGAGAGAGAGGGAGAACGTAAAGAAATGATACTGCAGGGAGGTGCTGCTGGCGCTGCTGGTGCTGCTGGTTGATGGTGGATGGTGGTGGTAGTGGTGGTAGTAGTAGTAGTAGGAGTAGCAGTAGCAGTAGCTGCGCAGTACTAGTCGCAGTCGCAGTGGCAGTAGCAGCGGCAGTGGCAGTGGCAGCAGCAGCAGTCGTAGTAGTAGTAGTAGTCGTCGTCGTCGTCGTAGTAGTAGTAGTATAGTAGTAGTAGTAGGAGAAGTAGTCTCGTCGTCGTCGTAGTGGTAGTAGTTGTTGTGTTACTACTACTCATAATAATAGTAATACTAATTAGACTGATAGTAGTGGTGCTAGTCGTCGTCGTAGTAGCAGCAGGACCAGCACGAGAACTCGCAGGAGCGTCAGTAGCAGCAGCACAGAAGCAGCAGCACAGAAGCAGCAGCAGCAGCAGCAGCAGGAGGAGGAGTAGTAGCAGTAGCAGTAGCAGTAGCAGTAGCAGTAGCAGTAGCAGTAGCAGTAGCAGTAGCAGTAGCAGTAGCAGTAGCAGTAGCAGTAGCAGTAGCAGTAGCAGTAGCACTAGCACTAGCACTAGCACTAGCACTAGTACTAGTACTAGTACTAGTACTAGTACTAGTACTAGTACTAGTACTGGTACTAGTACTAGTACTAGTGCTAGTACTAGTACTAGTACTAGGCCCGGGTGCGGCAGTCGTCAGAGAAGATCGAGCGCTGGCTCACATGTCTTCTTAATCAAATCTGAGGTTTCCGAGTCTTCCACGTGGCTTTGGTGCGGGAGTGGTGATCTGAGGCAGCGTGGCCGCCTGGCCCCAGCAACTTTTGACTTCGTCATCATCAACCCTCCCTTCAGAAAAGGGTCCTGTTCGCACCTCGAGCATCGACCACTGTGGGCCAGCCAACCCTCAAAAAAGAGTCATCCCCCTACGAAGTCAAAAAAACGACGTAGACGAGTTCTGAAGAAAGATCAGGCTGTGTGGTGCGAGGCTGCGATTCCTGCGTACAGCTTGTGCCTGGACCCTTCTGACGAGTCCTTCCCCGAGTCCTTCCCAACCAGAAATCCGAAGACATGCTTGGCAAAAGCTTGTGGCCCATACCCTCATCGCTTGTAACCCTATATCGTCTATGGCGGAAGTCTGGAGGTCTCAAATGCCCTTCATCTTGACCTCCAGGTCAACAAAAGACTTCATGTTATCTGAATCTGAAGTTGCAGTGCCTCTCGCCCCTCAAGGATCCACTCAGCTGCACGCAATCACTCCAGATGCCTTCGAGGAGGTAATGACCACGTCGAAAGGCTGCCTTTGTGGTCTTGGAAATGGGATTCAAGGGGCATGGATTACCACCAGGGGTTGACACAGATACTTGAGAGGTTCCACTGCTAGTTGGATCAAGGTTGCCGGGTGGACATGGGTCCAATGGACTCAAACCCAGAAGCGGCAAGGAATTCACCCAGACCTCCACAATGCACAAGTGAAGGTGACTGAGTGCGCTACAGCAGCATGTCTAGCATAAGTCAGTCGCACGCCTGCAAGCCCTTCACAAGCCACAAGAGGACCGCCAGCCCAAGCCCAATAAGATGACTACAGTAGGAGAGCATGAGCCGTTTTCTCCACCCTGAACCGAGCCACAGCGGCGCCGAGGCTGCAAAAACATTGCCACGGGAGAGCCGCTGGGAAGCGGAAGCGGCGCCTGCCAGTGCTGCGACAGCTGCCAGACTTCTCGCTGATGTTGCACACTCGGGTCCAGAAAAGTTCGAGCACCAGGTGGCTTTGACCAACGGAAGGGGCATCTTAGAATTTGTGATGTACTGTAGTCCAAAGCTTTCGGTGCATCTCTATGGCTTGCTGAGCCTGAGGGCTGTGAACTTGAACAGGCTGGCTAGACCGAGCAACCATCAGCTTTCCCACGGAGCTAATACATCGAGAAAAGCTTGGCCGAGGGAATTGAGACTTGTATGAGACTGAAAGCAAGTGCAACGATAGCACAGTGGAATGGGGCTTGAAAGTTGAAAAGCTGACTCGGGCATTCCTGCAATTTCGTCACGAGGCGACGCGGGACTCGAACTCAGACATCGGCAGGAAGAGGCCCTCCGCACGTGCCTGCCGGTCACCTTCCACGTGGCGAAGCCACAGGACATGGCTGTGGAACTTCCGCAAGGCTGGTCGGTGCCCCACGGACACATAGCTGCGCAGTTGCTTCTGCAGGTGCTGGTACAGAAGGGACTCGCTCTGCACATCACAGGCAGAGGTGCACTCGTCCATCAGAGCGAGCTCAGACTGCGGCATCAACAGGAGCCGGGCAAAGTTGATGCGCTGCTGCTGGCCCAACGATAAAATGCTGGTCCAGTCTTTGGTTTCGTTAAGGTTGTGCCGATCAAGCAGGTCACCCAAACGAACACGCTTCAATGCCTCTGCAAGCTCTCTGTCACTGAGCAAGCGATCGTCAATGCGCGGGTATAGCAACTGGCTGCGCAGAGAGCCTAAAAACATGTAGGGCTTCTGCGGCATAAAGAATACGTGACTCCTGTTACAAAGCTGTATGGTGCCTGAGCCGTTAGTCCAAAGCCCGGCAGCTGCGCGGAGAAGTGAGCTCTTGCCAATACCGCTCTCACCCGTGACGAGGAGAGACTGCCCGTCCAAGAGCTCAAAACTCAAGCGGCTGCAAAGCACCCGGGGCACGGCGTCTGTTCGCAGCGGCGTCTTCAGCGTCACGTCCTGGAAGCGCACACGCACGGGCACGGGGCCGCCATCATTTTCCGTGGTGTCGGAGTGGATGCACTGCTGCCCACGGACTCCTGGCCTTCTGCAGGCCGCCCGCTCGGCCTGGCAGTCTCGGAGGGCGAGGTCCAGCAGATGAAGGCGTTGGACCCGGACGGACACGTCGCTGAGAGCCTCGAGGCGATGCATGACCAGGGTCATTGCGTTCAGGATGGTGTTGAAGGCCATGCTCGTCTGCGCAATGACGCCGAATTCGACCTTCCCCTTAAGGTATGCAGGGCCGACCAGGACGGGCGTGACCACGAAGGTCGCCCACTGGAAATTCCGGTTGAGCATGCCGTAGCCAACCGCGACCAGAACTCGTTGGTATGCCGTGTCGAGCAGCGTGGTAAAGGCTGCGTTGAATTTCGACAGCTCGGCCTCCCCGCCCTCGAAGAATGCGATTGACTCTGCGTTCTCCCGCACTCGGATCAGCTTGTATCGAAGACCAGCTTCCTGCTGGACGCACCTCATCTGGTACAGCCCGAGCCAGGCACCAAAACCTCGGGTTGCAAGCAGTGTCCCAAAGATCGCATAGGCCATGCCACCGAAGCATGCCGTTGGAGAAATGGCATACAGAGTGGGAGCGAAGGCTAAGACGCTCAAGACAGTCCTCACCACGTCTTGCGAGAGGGACACTGCAGTGTTCACGAAACTCCCGACATCCTGGCATATTCGTTGGTCCGGATTGTCGATTTCACCAGTCAGTGTAAGGCTGTAGAAGGACTGGCGCTTGGATGCGGTGCCATCTGAAAGGTATCTGCCAACCAAACGTCTCGTCAGAGACTCGCGCCAGGCAAGTTCGAGAAGGCCAGCGACATACTCCCGTAATGCCACGATGGGGCTGATGGTGAGGATAACCTGCCCAAAAAGTGCACCCGAAGCATATTATGGGCTCTCATGCACTTGAACTTGAAAGCACTGCTTTTCTCTGTCTTACAAATGCACGGCATGACCTGGAAGTGTGTTGCTTGGAGGGGTACGACACGTTAGACTGCAATGCACGACACCTCCACTATGATACTAATTGCATCTACCTTCATTTTCGTTTTGCATTTCGAAATGACGCAGAACATAAACCAAACAACATTAAGAGCACCGTTAACGCTAGCACGAGCCACGAGATAACAGCACTAGCAATACAACAACAATACCAGCCATACTGGCTGCAAATGATTTTCTCTTTGGACGGACGTTCCACCCCTACAAAACCTTCGATGACATGGGGTTGGAATCAATTCAATACTTTCGCAACCGTCATCTTCGCGGAAGGAACCCTACCGAAGCTGCTTGCCACTAGCAGGAGATGTAACTTCCAAGACTGCAAGCGCCGAAACCGTAAGACCAGAAATCTATCAGCAGTCGAAGAACAACAACTCTGAGACCGCCCACTGGTAAGTGACAAGGACGATTACCCGGAAGTTGGCACACCTGCTGTGGAAGCAGCTACTGCAGCCGCCTCTGCAGTTTTGCGTTAGATCCAAACATCTGAGTGCCAGTGGCTGGATGGACAAAACCATTGAAACACCCCGCGAAATGCCACAGACGTGCATCTTTGCTTTGGGCGGCTGGGCTGGGAAGTGTCTTGCCAAGTGTGGCGTTGCGGAAAAGCCGGAGGAAGCTGTATCGGATTCTGTAACTTGGTGTTTGGGAAGGCTTTCATTCGTGGGAACATTTCATCACCTAGGCTGGCTTTTGTAAACCCGCGAAAAGCCGCGTCGCAAGTTGCTGTGTTGTTGGTTTGGCCCGCTTTCAGCTTCAGCCCTACATTAGCCCGGCCTTC